GCTGATCTAAGTCAGGGCATGGCTAACTCACAGATCAAACCCTGAAATAACCTCAGCCTGATCCAAGTTAGTCCATGTCTAATGATTCGAACAAATCAGCTAAATGTTACATGATTTGTTTCAGCTGAATTTAATGGTCTTTGGGACAGCCTGGTATTTGATTCTGATGTCAAAGCACAGGTCAGTATTTAGTATGGAAATTGAAATTATAGTCCCTTGGTACACTATTGATACTGCACGACTCTCATACATCAACCTATCCCATACCTAAATGAAAGATATATATGGTATTTAACCGGCTAGGAGGTCCGGATAGGGAAAAACTGTGCCTAAGGTGTCTTGAATCTACRGACCGAGGTCCGTTTTCAAGACCGAGGGATACTTACAAAGAGCAGATACTTACAAAATACCGTCCACTCAAACAGCCAATCAGAATGCATGATTTTTTAGGATACCGGACCGGAAAAAAATAAAGTTATTTTTCTAGAAGCAAGGCTACAAATAAGTGCCAGTCATTGGACAAATGTACAGTAAAGATGACCACTTGACTGGTAAATGATGTGCCTTGGACAGGCATCTAACCAAACACATTTCATTACATACACATAAATAATAGCTGACTGAGCCTACTTATTGAAGAAATGTCTAATTTTTTTTTTAAATTTGTCCGGACACTCTTGGGTTTAGACAACTCAAATATAATGCCTCTCACTTGTTGAATTACAGTCAATTCGCCCACGGACCATATCACTGGTTTATAGGTACTGGTTTATAAGTTGTTTTGTGAGTTATGGCGTATAAAAAGTTCATGTTTTGAAGTCTTGAGCTTAAGTGTCAAGTAATAAGTTTGGTAAATCACATACTACTTTAATGTAGTCTTAATATATGGTTAGATATTTCTTAAAGTGATTTTAACGTTGGCAAGTTGGCAAACGCATGTTCGATGATTTATATTTATATTAAATTGTTCAATTTCTTTTCATCCTCAGCTAATCAACTATGCCAGTACGACACTACTTTTTTCCGACAGGTTAGTTGTGTGTCACTATTATAAAACCAGTGGCACCAACAATAATATTTATATAAGGTTAAACAAAAAAATAAGTGTGTTTTGTGTTGCATGAGAAAAATAATTGGGGTTGGTAAGTCTGATTTTTTACTGATACAACAGTGGAAATAAGCTTACTGGGAACCCTGTGGTGCATTTGGGAATGAAAAAAATATTGGGGTCGGCAAAAATCAGCAAGAAAATTATAGGGTCAGTCACGCAACAAGAAACACACTTTTTTTGGTTTGGCCTAAGTATTGCAAATTATTCCCCTATAAGTTTGATTTGGAGAGAGCCACCAATATGAACCTGTATGTCGGCTCACAAGTGCCATGTAATAGGAGAATCATGATACAAGACTTATAATTATGATTTTAAGGTACATTACAGGTTTTTCGTTTTTTTTCTTTACCAGAGGGGTGTGCAGTAATATCATCACTTGGAACAGGGTGGTCCTTCTTCATGGTTAGTTTGTGTTACTCACTTTTCCAAAATTCAAAGGGGAAACTGCAACAAACTCATGTTGTATTAGTCTCCCTACAGTCATTTTTGTGTCAACATGCAATGCTTGCTCCATTGCGTGACAACACAAAAATGGCCATGGGGTAGACTAGTGCTGTGTGGGATAATGGCACTGAATTTGGGGACAAAAAATGTCAGTCTTACATTCCTTTGCTCAGATGATTTTTTGGAACTGCTCTATGAGGTCATAAATCATTAAAAATGATTTAGGAAATGCAGATTAGTTTTGTTGATCATGAGCAACTATTTCAAAAAAAAGAGTTTTAAAGTAATGTTTTTGTTTTTTTTCTAGGGCCTCCAGGTACAGGCAAGACATCCCTCTGCAAGGCCTTAGCACAGAAACTATCTATACGTCTATCAGATAGGTGAGTCCATACATAGAGTGTCATGACACTAAGCTGCCGTTTTACTTACAATGACATCTACTCACTTTTATAAGGTACATACTAAACCAGATGACTGGAAAATTTCTAGAGTTCTCAGTTATGTCTGGGTCTCAGTCTCACTGTCAATCAAACTATTGGACATACCACTAGCGAGTCAATAAGTTTAGGCTATGAAATCAATAGACCTCCTCGGCTTGGGCATAATGTTTTCTCATTTCAGACCACGTGTCATTCCCTAGAGTATCATCTTTGTTTAACAGTTGTGCATGAGAAGACACATGAATATGGATACAACTCAAACAAAGAATCTAATTCTCAAGAGAATGACACGTGGTCTGAAATGGGAAAACATTACGTCCAGGCCAAAGAGGTCTATATTCACTTGCAATGCAAAACTTGTGCAAGTGGCAACGTAAATATAGAAATATTATAATAGCAGATTGTGAAATTAACCCTTTTCCTTTTGTTTTTAGGTACACTTATGGTCAACTCATAGAAATCAATAGTCATAGCCTCTTCTCCAAGTGGTTTTCAGAGGTATGGTTTAGAGCAATCATCACATTTAGAATAAAAAATGCAGAATATGCAATRCATGTCATTGTCAAAAGCAATAAACATCATTTATTTTGAACAATATTTGCCCTTGCTTCATGGGTATAGCACTAAGGTCACATATGCTGCTAGTAACGTGTTGTCTTTCACCACAGTGACTGTGGTTCCGAAGGTTTGGGTTAATAATTTGAGCCCCGTGGACACCATTATATGTAAATTGAGTTTATCTTATTTATTGTCTCTTCTATGCTATGCCACAAGGTTTCCCCAGGTTCTCCGGTTTCCTCCCTCCGAAAAAATCAACATGTGAGTTGAGCATTGTGTGCATAAGAATATTAAATGTAGTGGTAGTGCGTGTGAGTGAAAAGTGTCCCCAATTAGTGTGAAAGTGCTAGAATGACTAGACACTTAAATAAAGAGAATGTTTTACCTTGATTTAACTTGGTCATAGTACATGTATTCTTATTATCTAAATAAACTCTCTTCTTCCCTATTATCGCCTCTCAAATGATACCCGATATGATCTTTCCGCAGAGTGGGAAGCTCGTCATGAAGATGTTTCAAAAGATCCAGGAATTAATCGACGACAAAGATGCTTTGGTTTGTGTCCTGATTGACGAAGTATGTAGTCACCCTGCCTATGTTTATGAGTTGATTAGTGAGATTCTTGTGGGAGTATATGGTGTAGTTAGTCACGAGATTGATTGCCTCTATATCAGTGTAGCCCTGGATCACCTTAATGAAGGTCTTGGTATCTTACATCATGAGTAAGAAACCTATTTTTTACCCCCACCCCCCCCCCCCCAGGTATTCTAAGGGTTTTTCTCAATGTTCCCTGTGTTCATTCCTTTGCAATAACTATAATTTATAATGATTAATAATTATTATTAACAGTAGTTCCTCAGAGTGGCTCTTCTTCCACTGAATTCCAAATGAAATTTAGGAGTTCTTTTTTGTGGAGGGAGGAAAACCGGAGAACCCCGGAGAAAAACCCTTGAAGCACAGGAGAGAACCAACAAACAACTCTACTCACATACAACTACTCATCAAATTCATTATGTTTGCTCGTTAACAACTAATTCAAATAGTTTAAGAATAAGTACTCCTTTACTAAAGTAGTTTTTCCATTAGGTCGAAAGCTTGACATCTGCTCGCAAAGCTGCCATGCAAGGACAGGAACCTTCTGATGCCATTCGTGTCGTCAATGCATTATTAACACAGATAGATCAAATCAAGAGGTACCGCACATGTACAAAATAGTGCAGTTTTCGTATGACTGTGAAAAGCTCAGTGCCGTAAGGTTTCAATACAAGGCTACATGCTATATTGAATTTATTCTTTTCTCCTGTCACGAATCACTGAGCATTATGCACAAAGCCTCACATTTAAACTTGTGCATAACAAGCGAAGCATATCTCAGGAGTGGGCTATTCCCTGCTACAATTTATGCCACTTTTCACCCTTTCTTTCCAGATATCCCAATGTTCTCATTCTCACCACATCAAATGTAACAGGTGCTATTGACTTGGCATTTGTCGACAGGTATTCATTATTATTACCAGTATATAGCTTCTGATTGGTCAAGGTTCTTATTCTTCATTATAAACAAGCAAGTTAAAAGTTGTTTGTACTTTTGCACTTATCTCTTATTTATGATGAAAATGTTCATTTTTGTACAATTTGGTTGGATTTCAAAGTACAAGTGACTAGGGATGTACAGTTTCATGAACTCAATGACAACATGGCTGTTTCAAATATATACTGGATATTTGAGATGCATTTTAATTTCATTGATTGACATGAATTTATGTCAATCACGAAATGCTACACCATGAGAAATATTTGTGGCTCGACATAAATTTATGTCCATCATAAAATGCTACACCAATCTCTGAACATGAATTTACGTCCATCACGAAATGCTACACCACGAGAAATATTTGTGGCTCGACATAAATTTATGTCCATCATGACACGCTACAACATGAGAAATATTTGTTGCTGGACATAAATTTATGTCCATCATAAACACCACACCATGAGAAATATTTGTCACTGGACATAAATTTATGTCCATCATAAACACCACACCATGAGAAATATTTGTCACAGGACATAAATTTATGTCCATCACGAAACACCACACCATGAGAAATATTTGTTACTGGATGTAAATTTATGTCCATCACGAAACACCACACCATGAGAAAT